ACCAGCCACCACTGCAGTACCAGCCACCACTGCAGTACCAGCCACCACTGCAGTACCAGCCACCACTGCAGTACCAGCCACCACTGCAGTACCAGCCACCACTGCAGTACCAGCCACCACTGCAGTACCAGCCACCACTGCAGTACCAGCCACCACTGCAGTACCAGCCACCACTGCAGTACCAGCCAAACCCAAAACTACCACTGCAGCAACAACCAAACCAGAAACTACCACTACAGCACCAACAACCACTGCAGCACCAACCACCACTGCAGCACCAACCAAACCAGAGGCTACCCCTACAGCTACAACAAAAACAGATGTTTCCACTGCTGCAACAACTAGAGCAGAAACTACCACTACAGCACCAACCAAACCAGATGCTACCACTGCAGCAACAACCAAACCAGACCCCACCACTGCAGCACCAACCAAACCAGAGGCTACCACTGCAGCAACAACTAAAGCAGAGACTACCACTACAGCACCAACCACCACTGCAGAATCAACCAAAGCAGAGGTTACAACTGCATTACCAACAAAGGTTATTAGTACYACACCAGGTACTGTGGATGAGTGTTTGCTTGGAATATCTGGCTGTGACAAGAATGCTCACTGCATAGACACAGTAGATAGCTATCGTTGYATGTGTAATAACGGTTACAGGGGAAATGGATTTGTCTGCACTGGTAAGTGGATTTTTATGTTACTTGGTACTTAATTGGTAGTTTGTTAAGTTACAGTGAGCTGAAAGAGAGCTGACACACTCTTGATGTCATGAAATGTTCAAAATTCAAGTGGTCTAACGAGCGCATTGAACATTTTATGACATCAAGAGTGTGTCAATAAGAGGACATTAACAATGAAAAACTGTGTGCAATTTGTTTTTTTTATCTCATTTAAGTCTCAAAATTTGCGAAAATCATTCTTTTCTCTCAACTGAGTGCACACATGATATGATGGTATCAGTACAGTGTGCATGTCCTCTTATTGACACATTCTTAGCCAATCAACACACAGGAATTTACACAAGTGGGATAAAATTGTTCTTATAGTCAACGTTCATCTTTTGCAGATATTGATGAGTGTTTAGAGAAAAAAGACTTTCTTTGCAATGAAAATGCCATCTGTTCAAATACTGATGGTTCCTATGCTTGTGAGTGCCAACCTGGATATAGTGGTGATGGAGAATATTGTGAACGTAAGTCATAATAATATTAACACAAAGCATTTCATTAATGCTCATGGAATATCAAAGCCTCTTTAGTTTAGTGCAATCTGTTTCAAGAAAATTCTATGTTTGTTTTATATATTGTTTTGGGAAGAACACACATACACATATAATATGTATCCACACAAAGGTGAATCAAGATTTGTATCTAGTACAACTTTTCTCTAAATGCCAACACAGGAATAACTTGGTTTTACCAAATTTAAAATAACCAATTATTGTAGAAATCATCTTTAGCAATGGATTGTTCTTGGTTTTGTATTTAACACATTGTTCATAATAGCTAGCCTAACAATTGTGAACCAACATACTTTAAGTTGCTATCAAGCATGTTACATGTAACAATCTCGTACCCCGAGCCTTCGTTCTCTTAGCCAGCGATGAAACGTAATTTTCTGTGAATTGGTTCTTGAAATAGAAATTAACATATGCCGTTGGAAGTGAAATTAAACCAAGGACAACATTTGAATTCATGTTTCATCTCGATATATTATCTTAGATTCTTGCCTTAAAATAATTTATTAAGTCAGTTAAGTAAAATGGTATTGATAATCAATAATATATTATTTTAACAGCTTCTGAAACAACAGGACGATTCACCATGAATGTGACACGTAAGCAACATATGAGTTTTTTGTTGATGAAATGTTTGCAATATTGAAGAATACCTGAATACTGGCTTTTAGTAAGCTTCATTTGTGTTAGGTTTTGTTTATAGACCTATTACTTTTATTTCATGAATATAGACGCAAAATAWTATGCTATCAATGTTTAAATGGCAATTTGTCTTCAGCATTATTGTCTGCTGTATATTCTACTAAAAATCTACTAAGTAAATATCTATCAAATGTTTCATAGATATCAACAACAACATTGCTATTGGATGTGGCAAGAAAGAGATGATGATTGTTGTCCGCARACAGCTTTTCATGGGAATGGGCCCAAATGATGTCAATCTTCTGGATCCAAAGTGCAAACCCAAACAAAATTCTACCCATTTTATGTTTTCTACTGGATTAACAGATTGTGGAACACAAATGACACAAACCGCTGAGGCTTTTGTTTATAAGAATGTTATTCGTGAACGTCCTGCTAGTGCTAATAGTATGATAACACGTCTTCACCATGTAGACATACCATTCCGCTGTTTCTATTCCAGAAATGGTGCAACATCTGCACTTGCATTGCAACCAAGTAGAAAAATCATACGGGCTAATGCTAGTGATGATGGCATGTTTGCTCTAAACCTCGGTGTGTTTAAGGACATTAATTATGCTTTTCCTTATCCTGACCAAGAGTTCCCCATCTCTGTTATGGTCAACATGAGAGTGTACTTCAAACTGATAGTCCAGTCTATGGACAATAGACTTTCTGTTAGGGCAGACCGATGTCATGCTACACCAACTCCAGATCCAAACAACAGAGTGCAATATGACCTCATTAGAAATGGGTATGAGCAAATATGATGTTAATGGTACTACTAGAGCGGATTTCAAATGACTGTGCAAAAGACACGGTACTTTCGAGCTGTGACCGTACCGTGCCATAGCGGTGATGTATTGTTAAATCTTTATTTTTATTTGGAATCCTATAGAAGGCAAGGTTTCGTGCCCGTGCCGTGCTGTGTCCGTGTTGTGATCTGTGCCGTTGCACAGTCGTACGAAATCTGCTCTAATAACATGAACTATGATTGAGGATGATAATGCAGATGATTGCAATGATATTATGTTGTATGTGACAGTAATAATGCTGATGAAGTTTAATGCCAAGTTCAATATTTAGCTGATGATGATTGATGCTGAGATCACTATTTGTTTTCACACTGAAAATTACTGTTTAAAGTAGCAATGATGACTTGATAAAAGATCATGATACTACGATTGCCTCTTATACTGTACAAAATAACTGACTGAGGATTGTAATGTTATTGTATTTGAACAGTTGTCCAACTGACCGCACAGTCCATTATCACAAAACAGCTATAAAACAAGAACACCGATTCAGCTTGAAAGCATTCCAGTTTGTCAATGTGGAAGACCCTACATTTGTCTATATTCACTGTACAGTAGTTGTCTGCAATGTTACAGATGTCAATTCAATGTGTAACAAAGATTGCAATTCAGGCATCACCGGTCGTTACAAGCGTTCTGCTAGTTACTCCAGACCTATTCATGTTGACATCTTGTCACAAGGACCTATATTTAAACCCAATACAAAGGTCCATGCTGATGGTATGTAACTAYTATATATACTGATTCAATTTGCTTTTGTGAATGTTACATAAGGAAATTAATATGATAATGTTCAGTCYATTGATGTGCTGTCTTACGATAATTAAGAAACATTTATGTGTACCATTAGGTTTTAAATTTGCACTCTAACTTGATTTATTCCTCATCTTCCCATTTCTTATCTAACAGTTCCACCCTATTTTTTCTATTTAGATTCCATTCCATCAATGGTAGGAATTGCTGTTGGTGTAGTTGTATCGGCCATCCTTCTTCTAGTTGGAATGATGTATATTTTGCGTAAGAGGACTTTATCCCAGCAAGACGACCTTATAGAAAAACATCTGCCTGAAGATAATCAAACGTTCGATTCTACAGTGTAAAAAAAGACAATTTATAATTTTCAGATGAGATTGAAATGAATTGTGCACATTATCTAAAGAAAGTGCAAAGATGGTTAACAGCAAATAATACGACAATTCAGAAGAAGCTTTATAAATGGCTTTCAGATAATGAACCAAGGCAATTCAAGAGCAAGGGAAACGCGCTGGAATTCACTGCTTATTTCACTTTATTAGTTAGGCTGTCAATATTTTCATTTGCGCAATTTGTTAAAGGACATTAAGTTTAAGGACATTAAATTATTTGGCCGATTCTGAAAACACTTCTAAATTCTCTATTAGTGCAGTCCATTTGTGGACAATCTAGCAAGGTATCGACAAAGCAATTTTAGGCAGATTACAGTACAGCACAGGCCAGATACTATTATAGTCATCAACTAATAATTTTTCCATCAACACAGGTCGAGACATTTTTATTTCTCACATGAATAAAGATTAAGAAATTGAAAAGTTCATCTCATTTACTTGTGTAGTTGGCAGGAAAATGCATGTGCGGTTATTAATAGTCCCTTTCCAGCCTACCCTTTTGTTAGACTTCCTGTCTCTCTTTTACAGAAAGCCTGATAAATGGGCAGGTTGCAAAGAAAACTAAGTTACTAGGAAAAGTGAATTTATCCACTCTACATATTCACACCTTCCCTCCTTGCCTCACTATACAAGAGTACAGACCTTCCCTCCTTGCCTCAATATACAAGAGTACAGACCTTCCCTCCTTGCCTCACTATACAAGAGTACAGACCTTCCCTCCTTGCCTCACTATACAAGAGTACACACCTTCCCTCCTTGCCTCACTATACAAGAGTACA